ATATTTCTTTTCTTCTAATATTTATAATTAAGTTTTAAAATCAAATCAATATTATATATAAGAATTTCGAAATTATAATCTAAATTAAAAGCTTGATTTTTAAATATAAAATCTTTAAATAAAAATATTTTTATAAAAAGATTAATATTATATATATTATATTGAATTCGATTTTGTATAATATTTTATTCAATATCATTTTTATTAATAAGATCTAAAAAATATTCAAAAATATTAATAAAATCAAAAAAATAATAAAAGAGGAAAATCTATAATTTAAAAAATAAATATATAAAATATTATTATTCAATATATTATTCATTAAATATTTTAATTTGCTTATAATTCCTTATTTATTAATTTTATTATATAAAAGTTTTATAAGGTTTTTATTAATATAATAATTTTTAATTTCTTTTAATATAAAAGTAATAGTTTGTAATTTGTTTGTTTTATTAATAAATTAAGTTTTAATATTAAAAATACTATATTTATTAAAGAAAACTCAGATATTATAAATAATATAAATTTTGCTATAAAAGAAATATATTTCTTATTTTATTTTGAGCTTGTTTTTATTGAAATTATAAATAAATTATTTTAAAATAATATAATAAAAACTAGAAATCCAAATATTCAATTATTTATTGAAATAAATAAGAAAAGTTCAGAATTTATTATATTTAAAGAGATTTAATAATAAAAAGTATTGAATAAAAAGTTAAATTATAAGAATCTCAAAAATTTGAGAATTAATAATATAAAATTTAGATAAATAACTAAAATCCTTTTCTTCATTAATTATTCTTTTATATTTAAAAGAAATAGTTTTATATATATCAGTAAAAACTTATTCAATAATAATTTATATATACTAAAAATACTCTTTTCAAATTAAAGTATTAAATATTTAATATATATTTTGAAAATATATTAATATAATTCGAATATTATTAGTTTCAAAATATTTAATTTTATAATAATTATATCTTTATTCTATTTTACTCTTTTTAATAAAATATACTATTTAAGAACTCTTATTTAATATATATTTTTAAATCTATATTTATTAATAATAAACTATTAATATTATAGAATTTATAAATATATTAAAACTTTTGATATTAAATGATAATATAGATATTAATATAAATATTAATATAGATAATAAAGAAATTGAAGAATTAAAATTAAAAGGGTTATTTTATAAAGATTTAGTAAATTCAATTAGAATAAAAGAATTATAAGAAAATAGAAATTAATTAGATTGAGAATTATCTTTATAGAAAATAAAATTAATAGAATTTAGAATATCAAATATAAAAAAAGAATATTTTGAAGAATTAAAAAAAAATAGAAAAAAAAAATTTATTTAGAAATTATATTTTATTAAATATTTTTAAATTTCTCAAAACGATTAAATTTATAAAAATAATATTCTAATATTAATATTTATATTTAAAAATATCAAAAAAATTAAAATATTTAATAATATTAATAGTTTATTATCAATTAATAATAATTTAATTAATATATAATCTAATATTATTGAAATCTAAGGATAATCTCAAATTTATATACTTCAGCTTATTTTATATTAATTAGAAATTTGTATTCTTATATTTTATTAATAATATTCAATATTAAAATGATATTGAATATCTTCAATAATATCGAATTCTATATCATATATATACATATTTCAAAGAAAAATCGATATGTACCACTATCTAGCCTGTATACGGATTACGGGAAATACTATTGCCTACACTGATCAAATGAGAGATGTTGAATGAAATCTGCTCCAAATAAGGTGTAGTTGTTTGAAGTTTGTTGTGTTCTTGTGGTTTTAGTTGAAGCTGTGGTGCAGTGATATGAGAGAGAGCGAATGCTTCCGTGGCTGTTATTATACACCTGACTGATTCGATTGTCAAGTCAGAAGACATTTGAAGACTCATATACATAAATGACAATAATGAAGAATACAAGCCAGTCATCGGTGACTCAAAAGATGAAGTGAAGGAAGAAAAGCAAGATAACAGGACACGACTGGAACACTTTCATACAATCGATTAAATTCATGAATATTCACAACGTTCCATCGAGACCACTCATTTAACAAAGAATAGAAGCGTGTAAACATCAGCGTATTATTGAGCATCTAAAATCCAGTAAAGTCAATCACTATCTAGTAAATAGACAACCCCCCTTGACGGCTGAAATTCATCTTCAACCGTCATCTCGAGCTGGGTAAGCATTGCCGTCCATCAGTCACCCGTATGACCGATTCCCACTGCTGGAGTATGTGCAAGTCTCCACGCTTGATAACATGAGTCGTAGAGAGGTGGGGGGTGTTCAGCCTCCTCACAGTTTTCTCCCGAACGAGAAACCGATCTTATTGCAAGAGCAGCTTTCGCTTCTGGACACTGAAATGTATCGCGGTGTGTTACTATTGTAGCGTTTCCATCGGGAACAATTCAGATATATATTGGAGAGCCGTTATGATAAATTGGCTGCAGCTCTCCATCCCCCTGGACTTGAACGGTCATTTTTCCACCTTTGAGACAGGGTGGTACCCATGTGATCCTGGCGTTACGATGTAAAAACATATCACTGCACATTGTGTCACAATTTGAATCGAAAAGAGTGACTATGTAGGAAAATTTGTTTTGATTGGGTTTGTTGACAGGGACGTAAACTTCGACAGTGCAGGTGTTGACATCAGAATTGCCACATTCTGATTGGGAGCGAACCCATGGTGTAGAAAGGGGAGATCCAAGGACAATGGAAATGATACCCAGAAAGACTTGGGAAAAGATGATGTGTTTCATGTTGACCCTTTCGCACAAAACATTAGCTATGAAGCATCTGATGAGATCAAAGTACCTTTAAACTTACATAATATGATAGATTCCTTGACTTGGCCCTGCGGATGGTTCTTGTCGGAACTGATAGTTTTTATTTATGAGATCGAAGTTAGCGTGGTATTGACGATGGATTTTGGAGACGTGAGGTGGTTCTTTGTTCTAGCTTGTGGTTGAAGTTGCGGTAGGGTGTGGTAAATCTCGAGATGCAGTGGACTCGGTTTGCATTTAGTTATGATTGTGGTTCAGATTGGATATAGCACATTAACAGAAGTAGAGAGGTTAAGATGTTCGAGAAAAACAACGTTAATGACTGTTTTAGCTAACGGAGTCATAGTGTCAAATATCGCGTGTTATCGTGGAAATAAGGATTCGAGTATGACTTGGAGGCCATGAATCATCATTTCATTGAGAAAGAGTCATTATAGAATTTCGATACGACAAGTTATGGAGTGAATGAGAAAAAACATGTAGAAGTATTTGAGGTCTGATAGTCGGGGGTTTAAAAACTTTCTCGATGCCTATTACCAACTGAAGGCGGCTGAAAACTTTTTTAATGTTGAAGATCACATCATATGCATAATCAAGCTTCAGATCACATTGAGAGGAATTAAATACCAATGAATCAATTTCCTTTAAAGACTGTACACAGTGCCCAGAAAGTGTATATTGCAGCCCCAAGGTGACTAGGTGTACAGCTAATACCAATATAGTGAGGCATGCTTGGTATCAGCATGGTATTTTGATGCGATAAACATGGCTTTTAACTCCGAGAGGTATGAGACTCAACAAGGCGTCTTCAATAGTCTCTGACAAGTAAACTAGATATTTCTTTCCTTGCCACTTTGGTTGCGGGAAGCTACAAGGCCCAGTGTACCAACCACTAATACCAATATTTGACTCTGGTGCATTCAAACGAGTTAAATTTGAGACAACCCAAATACGATCCTTGACTTCCATGGGACCAGCATCCATACCGAACAAAGCTTTTTCCCTTTTGAAGACAAAATGATCCTCGCCATACGAAACACAATTCCAATCCGTGATCGAGGTGGTTGCTGACTGGGGCTTCAAAAAGGTGGTGACGGTGTAGAAACAGGTATTCTCTGGCAGCTGGTCGCAGGTCATATCGTGCTTGAGAACTTTTGAAGAGTCTTCGTAGCACTTGTTTGCTTTAGACGTCAAAGAGAAATTTGTAGGAATAGAGATAGCTCCTTGAAGCAATAATGGCCACAGAAGGGCAGAAAGATGTAGATGCATGTTGACGGGTTTGCAGCAGTTTTTGACTTTGATAGGGGTCTGAAATCTGATGATTAATGAGCACAAGAATGTGTTGTGGGATGTCAAAGTGGCTTTGAAGGAATTATGGTTGTGGTAATTATGTCGGGAAAGACAAAGATTGCGTAAAACTTCCATGATTGAAGGAATAAAAGTATAGGTACCTAATAAAAATTATCGATGAATGGATTAACGACAATGAATCATTAATGAAAGGCAGAGGAGCCATCCATAGTCTGTGAATTGCTGCAGAGAAAAAGAAATGATGTCGGCAACCCAGACTACGGAGAGGTCTGTAGCACAACTGTCATCTAGAATGTATATATCGAGATGAGTCGTTGATTATTGGTGGTATCATAATATTGAAGTACTTAAAGGGGCCTTGAATGATGTTTGTGAGTTAATTGTGTATTTGCAGATATTGCGTGACTATAGTACTCCATATTGTCATACATCGACCAAGGTTCCCATATGTAATGTGCGTTTTCATACTTTAATTCGCATTCTGATTTTGTGCGTGTAACATAGATCATTGGAGACCCGATTCAATTTATTATAGCTGTCTTGGACCTAGTAATAGACTGAATGAGGCCACATTCGCGAACGTTTGATTTGCATTCACTGAAATATGCAACGCAGTTTACAGGAGAGTCATGTTAAATCCACGTATTGTATATTACGAATGTGTCGCAAGGCGCCGGCAGACCTCTATTCACATAAAAATCGTATCAACCCTTCCCTCTACCCCCGAATTCCATTGCCGCTCTTTAATCGAGAAAAAAACGAGAACACCAGTCTGGTTCACCTTCAACAACTTGATATGTAGGTACCACTAAAAACTAACATGTCTTCTCGTGTCTAACATGGGATCTCCAGCGCATAACTATCTGAAGTCCTCGGATCTATACCCAAAGGAACAGTTGGGGGCTTACCAATGTTTCCGTTCAAGAGCCTTAAGACCCTGTAGTTTTTGTCCTGCCACTGAAGTTCAGGTGATAGCTGTGATGTAAAGCTGACTACTGCTTCTGGTGCATTCAACCGAGTCAAATTTGACAACACCCAGACATGATCTCTCAGAGGTTCTGGTCCACCATCCAGGACGAAAAACAACTTAGTCCTGTTGAAAAAAACATGGTCTTGGCCATAGTCGGTACAGTTTCTATCTACCATTGTGGTGATCGCAGATTTCTGATCGGCATAGAAGTTGTAAAGGCATGAATTTTCGGAGAGTTGATCGCAAGTAAACTTCGATGTTAGCTGTTGAGAATTATCAAATAATCCAGGGAGGGACAAGGCGTTCGGAACAGCCAAAATGGCTGCTGCAAAAACCCAAAAAGTGGCGTGATAGTTCAGTTGCATAGCGATGGTACTGATGGGGGTTTTCAAGTATGAGCAGAGGCTAAGAATTCAGTAAGGAAGGAGTACCCACGCGGTCTTATTTGAAATGCTTAAGGCGAGCTTTGTAGGCTAGGGTGATGTATGAAGCTGGATATCACTCAGTAAAGTGCGATGAAATGGAAGTGAGCTAGGACAAATAAATAATTCCTGGGCGAGACTTTCCCGAGTGGATAGGAAGTGTGCAAATGCGAGTTGAATGTTAGTGTTAGTTGATAGCTGATTCGTGTTTCTGAAGCTGCCGATTTTTGTGCATGAAAGAGAAGAATAATTTCATGCTGAGAATGGAAAGCAGATGATAACACGAAAAGGAATTTTGCTTCCAGTCATCATGCTTGCTAGGCCTGACTCAAATTTGAGTGTGAAATGCATCTATTGTGAACGGTTAACGGACGCAACGAGAATAGCACCAGGGAAGATGACTAGCATAGGCATTGATGGAAAGTAATTAGACAATACGGGAATAAAGACACTGCAGTCACTAAATGCTTGAGAACCTTATCTCAAAATGATGCAATTACCCGCTTGAGAAGGAATGCCATCGAACTGAGTACTTGACGCTGAAAGATGTATCTTACAAGAATTGTAGTACTCGAATAATCAGAGTCGCTCCAAGACTTGGATATTCTTCATCTGATACCATTGCTACTCCTGCAATACCACGTCACTACATCTGAGCCACTTCATCTCCAAATGGACGTGTATATATTAAAATTGGCTTCTCAAAGCAATTGCAACGACAGGTGTGCCTATACTTCGATCCACCCTCCCCACCATCGCTAAATCATTTCCTCTTATTCATTTGTATTTTGAGTCTGCGGTGCGGGCACACCAAACCTTTGAGGCATGTACTGATCCTTGAATGGCAAACACTGGGTTCTCCGGCGGCAATGGTCCCTCGAGAAAATTGGTAAGAGCACACCAACTAATCTAGACGTGGGATGAACGTAACCGGCACCAAAGAGTAAACTCTTTGATCTAACGAGCAACGAAAATTTCCCATAGGAAATTTGCCAATGTTGAATATGCTCCGCTCATAGTAAAGATATTGCGATCGTCTGTGGTGGCGAACATTGATAGTTTAAACAATTTGTCTTGTCCATTGTAGTAAATCCTACATGATTGCAATCTACTTTCTTCTCTCTCAGCTCTCATCTATGGTCGAGATTGCACATCGTGACCCATGAATGTTGTGATTTGGCTGATTCTTAAGTTTGGTTCTGGTATGCCGATCGCAAAGCCAGAAATAAATTGCACGTGCGAGGCCTGCTCGATAAGGTTAGCCGCAAGTGCCTTTAACGCGGTAATTCTGTTGGTAATTGTAGAGATCAATTCTTCTAACTCTTCTTCCTCACTCCAGCGACAAAACGGAAACAACCACATCGATCGTTGAAGTGAACTGAATTCTTCAATTCTAGTAGTGCAAATGTCAGTTCGTTTGTTTACCTGCATAAGACAATGTCATTAGTCTACACCAAGACCTTCTTTACGTGCCAGTTTTGAATCAAAAGATATCGACACACGCACTAGAAAGGACTTTGGTACATCTCTAATTCACTATGTCCACGAGTGGTTATATTTTGTCTTTAAGACTTCAATAAATAAATTGACTACATACGCCGGTAAAGTAACAGCATTATTCTTGCTAACCGTTGTATTATATATACTTTTGCAACCTTCATTATTCAATTTGATACAGAATTCCCATGATGTTTTAGACCAATTCTCGACTTGGGCGAGAAAATTGGGCGATCAGTGCTGGTTTCCAACCTCGCCAGTAGGATTCAAGAAATCCCCATTGGCTCTGCGTTTCTTTTCTTGAACCAGTTGTTTTCTCCGTGGTAATAAAGATAGTCTGCGCAATACTAGGTGTTCCATGCTCATCTATGACGAACAACATCCAGTATCCGGGAATGAGGATACCAGGATCGGCTGGAGGAGAGGTCAAATATCGATTCCTGCGTAGATGATCTTTTCTCAAAAGTAACGGTACGCGGCGCTGGTCAGTGTTGACTGTGTGAGTTGCACTACCGATGCGAATTAAGGAGGCGGAACGAATCGCAACACTCGTGGTCAAATCCAGCTCATCGCCTATATTCATTTGACCTGGCACTCGTGAGATGACCTCTGGTCGGGAGCGCAGTTTCCCATCGTCTGTCAGGAGATAAGGCGGTGTAAATATCTGGCCATCATAGTGATTGGCAGAACAGTTACCGCACAGGCCACCACCCGCGTTCAAAACCCTTCCATCAGGTAACAGGATTGATAGTGTGTGGTAAACACGAACGACATTATTTCCCGATAGTTCGGTAAAAGTGTTGGCCACCGGGTCATATAGCTCAGGCACAAACTGTACGTTTTCTTCATTGAAAGCAACGCCAAATGTTTGACCACCAGCAATGAAAACTGTTCCATCGGGCAGAACGACGGATGTGTGGAAAACTCGCTCTGAATGCATCATACCGTTAGTCCCAGCCAGCTTAATATCTGGATATGCTCCTGGTCCATTCAGAGTGATGACATGAGCATTACTGGTGGCCCAGGATTTGTCATAGTCAGGAGAACCCCCGATGGTAAGAATCTCTCCTGCTACTGCATCAAACATTACTGCATTACCAGACATTGAATCTTCATCGTCTAAACGATTTCCAGCTTCTTCAACACTTCCATTTCCGTCCGTAAAGTACCAATTCATGGCTCGGCTAGGACCGGCTTGGAAAACACTTCCGTTCTGCCATCCAAAGAGCCAGCCATGGTTGTCAGCTCTCCATGGACCTTCCATATCATCAGTCAACATCTCTTTGACAGTGGCGTTAGGAAGCATAGACCAATTTCCGACGATGGGATCCCAGACTTCTCCGTTTTTTGGAATATTTGAGCCTCCAGCCCATGAGCCACCAATAACAAATACACGTCCATCAGAGAGAGTTGTGGATGCTTGATATCCGCGACGTAATCTCATCGGAGGTGCCTTGATCCATTGGTCGGAGGAAGAATCGTATAGACTAGTCTCAGAGGCATCATTGCCGCCAGTGACAACCATCATGCCGGTGCCATCAATAGAAATGCCGGGGCAGAACATATCATGCGTAGTATTGGTAACGATCCGTTTTGAGACTACTTTTGTTGACGGGCTCCAACGAGCCATTGCTGTCTGACCACCAGGTGTGGAATGAAACGTATCCGAAGCCCATGATGACCATAAAACAATGTTTCCTGAGGCCTCTTGAGCCCCGGCAACTGGAACGACTGGAAAATCAAGAGTCGGACCCCAGAGACCTAGTTTGGGATCTCGAGGAAGGAGGTATTGTGTCGCATAGATATTGAGCTCGGAAATACCTATCCAGGATGAGACATCTGCCTCGGCGCTTACATTGAGCTTCACATATCGAGCGGATGTAGGCTCGAATGCGGATAGTCGCTGTCTGTTTGTGTCTGGCCACATTCCATATGCAACGGGCTCTTCCCAATTTTCCTTGTCGTTACTGACGTATATCTCATGTTGAGTAATGAGGCCGTCATCTCCAGTACCAATAGGAGGAAGGATGACAAGTGCACTGACAGAGTAGTCCTTTTTCAAGTCTATTATGATACTGTGTCCGTCGGAGCTCAGATCACTACGCCAGGAAGTTTTGTTACTTCCATCAATCGCATTTTGACACGGATAGTTTTTATCAGAACTGCTGCATTCCAACTTCCACCCTTCGCGAGAAATTCGGATCCCTTGATAGGGACGCGATTCATCGGTGAATGTCGGTTCCCATGAGGGCTTGTCGACTGGTCCATAACCAGATATGCGTTCTGAGTTTATCGCCTCTGTCATGAAGTTACTGACAGCATGAATTCCGCCCAAGGAAGCTCCAAGGAGCAGTTCACTCCACTGTGGCTTCATTTTCGGTACTGAAACAATGTCAAGAAAGGGGTATAGTACTGCGAACAGTTCGTAGTTGTTGAGCATACATGAGGTAGAGAATATGTATATAAATAGTCAGATAATCATTTTCTTGAATTCTCGTTTAAAATTGGACTCCCAAGGCTCACGATTAATGTTCCGAGGGATCTTCAATACGTGGGTGAAGAGGAGATCAATGGTCTAATTGAGCTTCAAACTTCCAGTGTAATGATGCAATCAACATGTCATCGAAGTGGGTCCCTCGTATGCGAATACAGAGTTTGATAGCTTTTATTGACCTGTGTTGACAAGATGCACAGTCAATTCGACCTCTGTTGGTCAATACAACGCTCCGACTTATCCGGGAAGTTGATCGGTTCGCACCAGTATATTTTCAGCTCGCAGATTACCAGGCTTAGTTGGTTTTCTTCTTCTTCAGAGATGATATATACCGAAATATTCATTGGCAGACTCTCAATAATTCAGCGGCTCCATGATGATCATAGCAGGGAATCTTCTAAGGACGAACAGATCGCGTCGAAGATCTGTGGGTCCGGCAAGGTAAATTTGATTTTCGGCTAGCATGTTCTCCACAACTCAGCTGTATCGCATGCCGTCTTTGAAGATGAATGAAGTTAGTGTGGTGGAGCTTCACGTTGACCGTTCCGTAACTACCGGTATTCATCCTCTGAATTTTTATCAAACAGAACTAGAATTTTGTGTGCTAATTTCTCACGCTGTAGTAATTCTTTAGCAATCGAGTATCTATCAATTTGATATCTGCAATGCATTCGATTCAATCTTTGAGCCTTTGTTCACCCCTTAAAATATTATCATGTCGCACAAATTTACTTCACTCAATAGGGAATGTTAGAAACAGAAGCATAGATTGAGGAGGAAAACTATTTACTTTGATGAATCATCCAATCATACATTCTCAATTACTTCACCTTCATTTGAACAAGAGACCAATTTCTCACCAGCGTCTAGGTTTCAGCTGGGTAAATTGAGTTTATTCGGCGGAGTTTCTACGGGTTGAGGGAATCAGTGGTAGATACGCTGTATCAATACGGCCTGACATTATTTTGGCCATTATTGCTACCCCACTTCAAGATTGGAGAAGGAAATGCTGATCCTTCAGCCGCAGTATCACGTAAGGATACAAGAACCATAATGTTCGTGGGGATGGTGCGCTTGTCAATGTCACTAACGCACCGGCATTTGACGCTGTAAAGCTCATTACTGACTGAATTTCTTTGTCCATATTGAGTAATCCGATGATGTTTGGTGAAGATTCACGAGATTATAAGAATATGCACTCCAAAGATCGACCATTGTCCCGGGAGAGCTCTCCGCTTATACCTCGCCCATCACATATCTCCACATTTCAGCTTTAAAAAAGGATGAATAGCTTCGTTCGAGATTCGATCTCCATGAGTAGTCCGGTCTATAGTGATCTTACGTGTATCATTTCGTAGTTTTCTATTTGATGTAACGTTGAATGAATTGACCTATGCCAATCATAAGATTCTGTCGAAGGAAATTGATACAAGATCATCAAGCAGCTCTTCCAAAGTGATCCACACCCTACAATCATCCGTAACTGAACTCATGAGTAGTTGCTATATATCCCAAAAGAATGTGGACCTAAGAATAGTACATCTTGTGCTCTATTTTCTATTTAACTTTGTTGATATCCTCGGACAAGAGCGTTATTCATCGCAACATGCCATACTCTCTTTACATCTGCAATATTTGAAGCATTTTCAATTCAGAAGCTCCCACTTAAGCAATCTTGCTACCAGCAACCATGAGTTGGATAGCTAGGAAGACTAATATCCAGGGTGATATCTGGTAACCTTTTTTATCCACATACTCTCAGAATTTTTACTTACCACCTCCATTTAGGCCCGGCTTGCCAAAACGGTTTCAAACATTCATGTTCTTTAAGATCAAGAACGCAGATGACTTCAAAAAGCGGCTCAGAACTTTTGTCAAAGATGGCGGAATCACGAGTGCCAAGGATGCATGTGATATGAAGAACAAAATCTTTGCAGAAAAATTTCAAGCACAACAATCAGGTCGACCAGCCAAGATTCTGCCACTACCCGGTGTTAATATCGCTTTCGCATCAACAGGCTTAGCCGCTGTAAGTCTCAAACATGCTGTCAAGAAGGAGAGATCGCGTCTAACGAATCTAGCTTGGGAAATTCACTTTTAATGAGGGTGCTGTTAAGAAGGATAGAGAACTGTCTAAGATCTTTAAAAGAAACCAGCTCAGAGGTGGCTTGTTTGGGAAAGGCATGTACGATGACCTTGTCAACGAGGGTTGGGATGATCCGCAAGAGATTCGAGAGCAGTACAAGCGATCCCCAAATTGCTTGATTGATGGAGTGTTTCTAGTAACAGCCAGTGACGAGGATGCTTTGACTTCCCAGGTAAACAGTGTCAAAGAGCATTTCCTCAAGGAACGCGGTGATGGCGACACATACTTGATTAGCAAAGACCCAGCAGTCCACTTCACCTTTACCAGGCAAGGCCGAACCCGCCCAGACAAAGGAAAAGAGCAGTTAGTATTCTCTACACTCACAATGGATGTTTTAACATTCTAACGTGTCTAATCATCAGTTTCGGCTTCGAGGATGGAATCAGTCAGCCCTTGATAGAAGGCTTGGATGAGGTGACACCCAAGGACAAAGAGCCCAAGTCCGTAAAATCAGGGTAAGATTCTCTTGGTATCAATTGATCTAGATCATCGTAACTGACTTAAGATTGTTTTTTTTCCCAGATTGATTTTTGCAGGGCACGAGGGTGATGATATGAAGCAGCCAGATTGGGCGGGAGATGGGAGCTTCCTCGTTTTTCGGGATCTCCAACAGCTTGTCCCCGAATTTGATAAGTGAGTTACTGTGCTTCGTTTTACATTCTCGTGAACTAATCTCATACATCATTAGATGGTTAGAGGATAACAAACACAATGCACCGCATGCCGCAACCTCTGAAGATCCCAAGGAGAAGCTTGCTGCATACCTGATGGGACGATGGAAAAATGGTATGTTTTCGAGTCCTAATATACAAAAATGTAACTCAATGCTGACTCATTCGTCAGGAACACCCGTGGACGAGAGCCCTCACCATGCCAAGGATGAGAAACTTTTCAAATCTAACAACTTTGACTTCCATCCTGTTCAACAACACGACAAATGTCCTTTTGCAGCGCACATCCGGAAAATGCGACCCCGTGGAGACTTAGATCACGACCACGCCGTCATCATACGCCGCGGTATCTCTTATGGAGACGAAGTGACACCCGAAGAGAAAGCTGTACAAAAATCCGATGATAAGAAAGAACGCGGACTTCTTTTTGTGTGTTACCAAAGCGACATTCGAAATGGTTTCAATTTCTTGACTACTCGCTGGGCAAGCAACCACCACTTCCCAGACCGCAAGCACAAATTCGTTGGTGAGCATGGTCCAGGAATCGATGCTATTGTCGGCCAGAGACTCGATCACCATCCACCTCGCTCCATCGGTCTTCCAGATGGTAAAGATCCTACAGAAGCACGTGTTCAACTTGATAGATGGGTGGTTCAAAGGGGCGGTGAATATTTCTTTTCGCCCGGCATTCAAGCACTCAAGGGATATTTGACGGATCCTTCTGATTATCCGCCTGAGCTTACAGCTCCATGAATGAACTCGGACGCGTTTTCCATGATGTAACTCTGAGCGATTTGCATTTCTAGATAATCTGTATACATGGCATGGCGTCTTTTGGGGAATGGAAAGAAATATGAGCAATTTGATGTCAAGTCTTAATTCAACATATTAATATGCCTTTCATTTGGAAAATGATTTATGTCTGGTCAACCAATAGGTTCTAAACATCAAACTTTACCCACCTGAATTTTAGACCATATGTTTCTTTGACTAATTATTCTATGGCTAATATGCGTTGAGCTATGAAGTGGCCCCGGGGGCGATTGTTCAAGCTGCCCAGCTGATCAAAAGGCTGCAAGGATTGACGCCAGACGTGCAACAAAAATTCACAAAGCCACGGGATTACCACTTATTAGGATGTGAGTGGTTGCATTTCATCGTGGATAGCTGCCAATATTTGTAGCGATGACGTAAGTATTGCGATTCATTCTTTGAATTTTGATATGCAATATCATGTGTTGGGAATATGTATGGTTTCGTGCTTCAGTATGAACGACACCGGGTCACCCTTTAGACGATGATTGTGCCGCAAAACTCCAGCGTCAACAACAAATGTGAATGACTTTTGCTTCGATCTCAAGTTTAATATGACGATCAAATTCCTATTTTGATCAATAATACTATCTCTCAAAAAGTGTGCAGGTGGATTTATATTGTCGTTAGACCTTGTTGAATTAGATGCTTGGAATAATTCGGTAATTTACATGCATCCTTTATTTGCTTCACCAGCATTGTTGCGCAAAAATGCCCCACCACTTCAAGGCTTAGAGTAAGCTGAACACAAACTATTGTGAATAACGTCGATCATCAACCACACACTTGGTGAAATACGAATTGCCGAGAGGACAAAAAATGCCCTTACTCATAGCCCTACCTACTATGATTGTCACCTAAAGAATGGTACAGTCATACCTAACGCCACCATCAGCCAAGCTAAATCAGTATCATCAAATGGTCGAATCAATTCATCGCGTGCCTGACATTTCATCAATGTCCCCTGACCTCATCACACCTCATATTACATCAGCCTCCCCCATGGTATCATGGCTGCACAGATTCAGGGTGCTGGGCGCAGCGCTAACTTTAACGTTCTGCCCCAGAAACTAAAGACAATTTCATCAAGTAGTAGGCGGGTGATCATCAGCCTCAAAGCGTAAGTAAGAATGACGGGGCACCATCAGGCAGAGCTATGGATTAAATACCAGCCCTATAATGCTTTCATGGGTTCCCCTATTTTTTGGTCTTTCTTTTATTCATATTTACTCGCATTTCTCTTGCGGATT